CTGCAGGAGTGTGCTCCCCTGAGGACAGTGTCAGGGGGAATCCCCCCAAAGGGGCTCCTTTGGTTCTGGTCTTTTCCAGGGTTTGATTCAGACTCTGTTGCTGGGAGGGTTTGAAAATGTCTTGGCGGGTTTAGTTCTGTGGGGGGGGGGGAGTGTGGGAAGCTGGAGGACAGGGGCAAGGTCTGTGTTGCACTATGGGGACTGAGCATGTTCCCAGCATGGCAGAATCTACAATCTCTGTCTGCAGAGAAAGGGCCTGGGAGAATTGTGATGTGAAATGAACTAAAGCCTGTTCTGAAACCTCCACAACTGCCCTTCTCGCCCTGCCAGGCTGCAGAATGACGCCCACATCTCGCTTCAGCTCATCCCATCCTCCCATGGGACAGGGGAGAGGAATGGCTGCAGTGGAGCCAGCTCATGTAGGGGTTATTGGAGGGTTGCTGGTGGGTTCCTGCTGGAGGGAGAGGGGCAGTAAATACTGAAGAGGTGGCAACTTCTGGGGACTTAGGTGTGGAGGGGGCAGGGAATACCCTGGGTGAGGAAAGAGAGGGGGACAGAGTGTGACAAACCTGCTGGGACTTGTTTAACGTGGGCCTAGATTCTAGGAACAAATGCTTGGATGTTGGGGGAGAAAATTCCCTAATTTGTGAAACAGGAAATAGAGAAACCAACCCCCTGGGCAGGGCGGGGAAAACTGACCCGACTTCCAGTGCTGAACCCTCAACCTGCTAGCCAGAGTCTGGTGTGGCAAGGAAAGATGTAGGAAGGTGTGGGGAAGATGTCCTGACCCCTCACATCCAGCTGCTGGCAGTGGAGAAGGTGTTGGGTTCCCTACCATGGGGTTGTATCAGCCTCTGGCTAGTAGCTGTGTGGTGGATCTGCTGGGAGAGACAAGGGGCTCTCTCTTTGTTCTCTCACCGTGATGCCCCCGGCTGCTCTCAGCAGTATGGGGATAGGACTCTGCTGACTGTTCCTCTCTCAGAGCTTCCATTTGATTCACTTCTCTCCCCCATGAATAGTGGGGCTGTGAGTGGGGCAGCAGGTACTGAGGGTTGGAATCTTGCTCTTTCAGGGGCTGGTGACTTTCGAGGAGGTGGCTGTGTATTTCACCACGGAAGAGTGGGCTCTGCTGGACCCCACTCAGCGAGCCCTTTACAGAGACATCATGCAGGAGAACTATGAGAATGTGACCTTGCTGGGTAAGGATTCCCGTCCCCTCAGTTCTTAGAAGAGGAAATGCAGAGTTAAGGTTCACGCCACCCCACAATGCCACCTCTGCTCTGCCCTGTTTCAGCATCACCCCAACATGCCAGTGACACACACACTAGCCCTCTCCCCTCCCCCGTTACAGAACGCTCTGGGAACAGAGCAGTACAGAAGAAAGTCTAACAACTTCTCTTTCCTCAGATAATATTCGGGTTCATCTCCATCATAGCAAACAGGAGCTTCCTCCCCCTGGCCTGCTCTCCAGTACTGAACCTCCTGCACACAGACCATCTGAGACTTGCAGAGTGTTACCACCCCTTTGCCCTCAACCTGAGTTTTCCTTTTGAGTCACTGCCTTCACTTACCCCTCACTAAGCCCCACAGATCACTCGAACATATGCCACCAGAGTGCTGACAATCCCCATGGCAAGAACACACCCTTGGGCACCTTTGCTGACAAAGCCTATTTCCTATTTTAAAAAATGGACGCTTTTGCCACTATAGCTGTGTCTATAATTGAGCTTTTGCCAGCAGAGCTATGTTGGATGGTGCGCATGTGTGCGCATGTGCGTGTGCACTTTTTCACAGCCTTAAACAACAGCGCTGGACTGGCAAAGCTTTTAAGAGCTACCTAAGACCTTCCTAACTAGTTCCTCGACAGACACCTGACATGCCACTTTTAGGTGAATTAATATGCGTGTACCTGGTCTGTGGGATCCCAGTAAAACATTAGGCTCCCTGTGCCCTCTGCCAGGTGGCATCAAGAGATCCATGATGAGTTACATCCTCCTCCTTCTCCAATCGCTGCATTAGAGTGTCCTTAGAATGATCCAGCTCACCCCCATTCCAACCTTCTGTTTGGGTTCCACGGGGCTCTGTCCTTGGTCCCCTTCTTTTCTTCCTCTGCACCTTATTTCTGGGTAATCTCATCTGCACACACACATTCAACTACCATCTCTGTGCTCCTAACTCACAGTTCTACCTCTCTGCTCCTGACCTGTCTCCTTCTGTCCCAGCTGAAATCTCAGCCTCTCTCTCTCTCTCTCTCTCTCTCTCTCTCTGTCATCTCCTCATTGATGTCTAGCCATCAGCTAAAGATCAGCCGTGGAAGCAAAGTTCTTAATATTTCCCCCAAACCCTCCACCCACCTTCTTTCTCTACCATCGCAAACAGCACCATCGTCCTGCCTGTCACTCAGGCCCGTAACTGTGCAATACCTTTATCACGGAGCTCCCTCTAGGGCCTCCTATCCAGGCTGTGCCTACACCTTGCATTTTCTTTTTGCATAACTTCCCTAACACCTGGCCTTTCCTAGCCATCCATGCAGCTAGAGCTCTTGCCATCCTCTCCTGCCTCAGTTACTCCAACATCCTTGCGCATCTCCATTTGGAAGGAAAAAGTTACCTCCTGGTCCTTGAACATGACCTATGAGAGAAGGTTGAAAGAACTGGGCATGTTTAGTCTTGAGAAAAGAGTAAGGGGGGACCTGAGAACAGTCTTCAAATATGTCAACGATTGTCATAAGAGGACAGTGATTAATTGTTCGTCATGTCCACTGAAGGTAGGAGGAGAAGTAATTGGCTTGATCTGCTGCAAGGGAGGTTGAGGGTGAGTAATACAAAAAACGTTCCAGCTATAAGGATAGGGAAGTACTGGAATAGATTACAAAGAGAGGTTGTGGAATCCTTGTCACAGGAGGGTTTTAAGAACAGGTCAGACAAACTTCTGGCATACTTATATCTGATCCTGCTGCAGGGCTACGGGAATGGAGAAGATGACCTCTTGAGGTCCCTTCCAGCCCTATATTAGAAGATTTTATGATTCATTGCCTTAGCCCTTTACTTTGATCATGTCTCCCGGTGGAGAATACAGACCATTTTTGCGCATCCGCTGCGGGTACAAATTTTGTACCTAGAACCCTGCAAATCTGCAGATATCCATGGACCATTTTTGTGGATCGCAGATTGGATGCGGATACAAATTTTGTATCCATGCAGGGCTCTATCTGTCTTACTTCTGTCTATACCTACAACTTAAATCTATTTGGTACACAACGATTGCATTTGAAATAACATATGAGATGACCGTAACAATGATCAATGAATGATAAAATTAACTAATTGGCTCCATGAACCACACTCTTCCTTTTCCATCCCCACCTGCAAGAGACGCAGTCTCTCTTCCCTGCATGCTCTTTGGATCTTCGAATTTGTCCCTCCTGAAGTCACATGGCCTGATGCTTATTTTTCACATTCTCCTTTTGCAGAGGAATTAGTCTGTGGCTCCTGAACTACACCAGCTAATTTGCCAGCTTTCTCCACACACAGTGTTTTTTATACTCCCTCCCTTGACACCTGACTCACTAAGTTCCCTAATGCCGCAGTATGTGCTTTCCTGACATCTAATGCTGCTGGGATCCTGCTTCAATGATATCCCCGCCCTTCCTGTTCCTTACTCCACTGAACCCCACCAGCCCATGCTTACTGTTCCCAGCTTCCCCAGGACTCTCATTGTCTCTGGATCTCTCTGTCAGCAAGAAGCAATGCCAGGGAGACTTGCCCTCTGTCTGGAGTCTTCACTTTCTGGGACATGCAGTTCCAGTCTCTGTGTTTTAGGAGCCTCTTTGATAATGAGTGTCTGGCTGTGTGTGTTCCCAGCAAAGATGGGAATAATTAAATCCCTCATAAGCAGAGTGTTCTGCACCTTTGAGCACCTGGGGAGCTGGCCCTGAGATTTTATTGGTTTAAAATGGACTGGGGTTAAACTAATAGAATATTTTTTATGACAAATGGCCTATGAATTCCCCTGATCTCCCTTGTTTTCTTTCCCTTGAGCAGGGTTTCCAGTTTCCAAACCCTATGTGACCTCCCAGCTGGAAGGAGGGGAAGAGCCGTGGGTCCTGGATCTCCCTGGTTCAGAGGAAAGCGAGAACCTGAGAAGTCCCTGCACAGGTGCCCACCCCTAGCAGAGCAGTCAGGAGGATGCTCCCAGTCCGGAGTGGCCATGGGCGACTCCAGGGGTGAACAGAAAGTGGGGGGTGGGGAGACAGGAACAGCAGCAGCTGCACATGTGGAGCAGAGCGGAGGAGCAGTCACCTGGCTCTGGCGGCTGGCTGTCCAATTGCCCCCTGCAGCTCAGGTCTCTCCCACTCCCCCACGCAGCTGCTTATCTGCTTCCCGTGCCGCCTTCATCAGCCCAGTGAGCCTCTCGGCAGCAGGTCAGGAGGGAATCCAAACCCTGTGCCCGGCACCCACTTGGGTGGGGCACCCATATGGCCCACCCTAAATGCCGGTCCTGGATATGGAGCAGAATTGATCCCCTCTGCTCTACCCTATGGGGAAGAGTTTGCGGGAATTCAGTCCCTGATTTTTTTATTTTCTGTCTCTCCAGCACTTACTTGGGTTTGCTCTCTGCCTAATTCTGAGATTTTTCGTCCATTCTAGCAGGTGATGGGGTGGTGAGGGAGAACGAGGAGCAGAATCCTCACCAGGAAGATGCTCAGCTAGCTGAAGCGCATGGGGCATTACTGCGAAGATCCAAAGGGAATGTGTCCAGGTGCCATGAGCCAGGAAAAGCTGGTGAAAGTTACCACAGACCAGAGAGAGAGCAGGGAAACCAGTCAGTGGAGAAAGTGTATGAACCCATTAATTATCAGGGAACTCACAAGGACCTCAAGGAAACTACATCCCAGGAGAAAATCCTCAGGGAAAAGGGAGAGAATACATGCAGTGAGTGTGGGAAAAACTTCAAATACCACTCAGCCCTTATTCGACATGAGATAATCCACACGAAAGAGAGACCCTACGAATGCTGTGAGTGTGGGAAAAGCTTCAATCGTAGCTCAGCCCTTGTTAGACATCAGCGAATACACAGAGGAGACAAACCCTATGAATGCTGTGAGTGCGGGAAAAGTTTCATGCAGAGATATACCCTTATCTCTCATCAGAGAATCCACACGGGAGAGCGACCCTATGAATGCTGCAAGTGCGGGAAAAGCTTCACTCAGAGATCAGCCCTTATCTCTCATCTGACAATCCACACGGGAGAGCGACCCTACGAATGCTGCGAGTGTGGTAAAAGCTTCACTCAGAGCTCAAACCTTACTATGCATCAGAGGATCCACACAGGAGAAAGACCCTATGAATGCAGTGAGT